GGATTCGGGCGGGTCGACAAAGACGCGTTTCGGATCCACGCTCACGACCACGGCTTGGCAGCCGTAGGCGGCGCTGATGGTCTCGATGGCCGTCTTCCCGCTCAGCTGGCCTCCTGCGGCGTAGTAATCCTCGGCTGCGGTGACCGCTTCCGAGCCGATGCTGACTTTGTCCGCGCCGCTGGCGAAGTACAGTTTTGCCACTTCGAGCGCGGACGCGGTGCGCCCGGTGGAGGGGTCGATGGTGTCGCGGATTCCGCCGCCGATGGTCAGGGGCACGAAGACGGTACGCGAGACCTGGCGCAGGATCTCGAGCATGGGGAGGTCGGTGAGTGGGGAGGAGCGGAAGGAGGTTATGTTGAGGAAGGTGATCTCGTCGGCGGATTGCCGGTAGTATTTCTCGGCGAGGTGGACGGGTTTGCCTAGGTTGCGCACTTGGCCGGCGAGGTGTTTGGTCGTACTGGTGGAAGAAGAAGAGGAGGAAGTGTTGTTGGTGGGAACAGAGGCTTTTTCTCGGACGTCGTACTGATCGCCCTTTGTCACCACGAGGTCGCCGTCGTCGTTTGCGCGGACGTCCAGACAGGCTATGATGCGGCGCGTTAGGCCGTTTGTACTGCTCTCCACTTTGACCGCCTGTGGTGCTTGGGTGCCGTTCGCTATAGCTGGGTGGGAGACAGCTTCCCACGTCCTTCCCTCTAGAAACGCCTTAATGACTTTCAGCCCCGCCTCGCCACTCTTTTCGGGATGGAACTGTGTCGCGAATACATTTCCTTTTCCGATGGCACCTGCATACGTCTCGTCACCATACCTCGCCGTCGCCACAGTCCACCCCTGCTTTTCCAGCTCGCATCCGGGGCCGTACGGGGCAAAATAGCTGTGCACGTAGTAATACTTTCTCCAGTCCTCTAAGCCGTAGAAACTGTGCCTAGATGTGGAAGCTGAGTCCACAGCTGGTGCAAGGCTGGCAGAATTCCAGCCAATACATGGCACGCTCTTCCTCGCCTTCACAGCTCCCCTTGCATTGGTAGCACTGGTCTTGCTCTCATCGAATCTTCGTAGCTGCCCATTGATGACGCCCAGGCCAGCAACACCGGGTGCTTCATCCGAGCCGGTGAACAGGGCCTGAAGGCCCACGCAGATGCCAAAGAATGGTTTACCCGAAGCGAGGTGTGCATGGATGGCGGGGAGGTAGTTGGCATTCGAAAGGGATGTGAGACAGTGCGAGAAGTGACCTACGCCGGGGAGGATGAGTTTCTATGAGAGAGATGTCAGGGGGGGCAGTTAGTTCAGATGAAAGCAATTGCCCGCTAGAGAAAATAATATGGTTCACAGGATGTATTTTGGTGAAGAGCCAACATGCCCACGACCACATGAACAGAGTCAACGATTCGCAACGTGCAGATGTAGAACGATATGGACAATGCCTCGTCGATGCTGTACGAGAAAACAGTGTCCCTCACCTCAGCATCCTTCACATCTTCTGGACTCCTGATCCATTCTACCTCGTATCCACATTTCTCGATAGCATTGACCAGGGATCGAATATTGCCGGCTACATAGTCCAGCAAATGGACTTTCTTTCCCATTTCCGTGGTTGCGAAAGAAGCAGTTGATCAATGCACAATATACATATATGGCTACACAGGTGACTCAACTACTAAGTAGTATGGTACAGAAGATGTCAGCAAGAGATGAAATTGGTCTTGGCATCCCCTGCTTGCCCGGGTGGAATTCCTCTGGGGGCAGTCTTCGAGCAAGCAAGGGACATGTCACATGAAGTTATGTCAGGAGACGGCGAGGCTCAACCAGTAGCTAGGGTTGGCGGCTTGTATAGAGAAACAATTCGTATGGATACATGATATAGACACACTCGATCATTGCGTCGTCGCTCTCAATGCCTGCAACAGCAACGCAAATATCAGACCCCGAGCAACTTCCTCCACCTGGAGACAGTCAAAGACTCTCCCCAGCGCTTCGCCGCTGGCAGCACTACCCATAACGCTTGTCAAGGCTTGAGGCATACCCTTCTCCACCAAGAGCTTCCTCGCTTTCACTCTCAGCTTCTCCTGTTCAGCCGCAGTCATCTCAGGCGGCCACTGCTTTAGCTCTTCCTCCGTGGGCAAGGTGTTTTCCCTGAGCTTCAGTATATGGCCCGCCAGACCTGTGTCGGAGACGAAGTTCGCATCGATGATGCTGTCCTGCAGCAAGAGACGGATAGATTCTAATTGCGGATTGTTTGGGCGGAGGAGAAAGGTCTTTGCAGCGGCAAGAAGAGACAGGCGGATGGTCCAGGCGGAGGAGAGAGTATATAGTTCGGTGATTACCGCGAACATCAATTCAATGGACGCACGCGTTTCTTCCTCGGTGATGGGTCTGTTGTTATTCGCTCTAGTTGAGGATGCAGTGTTGGTCCTGGATGCTTCTGACTGGACGGGACCAGATATAGCAGGAGAAGGGAGAGTCGGCTGAGACTCGCTTGATGCCGCATGCGATATAGAAGATGTCTTGATATGAGTCGTTGCTGTTTCCGACTGCCCATAGTCATCCGATATATCGCTTGGTGGCGGCGGAAGATGAAGATTCTCCATCGACTCACCCTGTCCGCTCCTCCTTGGTGATGCCTGGCCGCTGTATGTTCTCAAGTCACTGCTTTGGCGAGAAGGTGTAGGACGTTGCTCCTTGACCTCCGTTGGACTCAAGCTCACAGAGACGCTGTCTTGGCTGGCTCTTCCTGGTTGCTGGCTATCTGGGTTTTGCAGGCTTACGACGGAGGCAGACTTCGTTGATCGTGCCGTGCCAGGGGGAGGCTTTTTCAATCCGCCACCAACGGCGCCAAACACACCTTGTACACCACCCAGCACAGCCTTGCCACCACCTGCAAGACCCTTTGGTGCTTGGCCGAGAACATTTACAAAGCCTTTGCCCATATTCTCCAGAGCGGCTGGTCCCTGAAATGGAAAGATATTCTTGGTAGGGCTGGGCGCTTTTTGAAGGCCCGTCTCCTTCTCTAAAAATTTCTTCATTGCTTCACTCTCAGCTAGTGGCTCATATCGTAAAGCATGTTGCAAGTATCGTTCAAGGTTCTGGCGTAGATAGTGTTTGGTTTGACCTTTCCAGCTTGGGAGTACAGCGTGCTTTTCGACAAATTCAGGCACGCCAGATATGATTGATATCCTACGCAGTACCTCGTGCAGCGCCTCAAAGTCCTGATATCTCCTCACCATCATCCAACCAGGGAACTTAGAGACAGCTGGCTCAATTTGCAGAAGATATTCCACCGCCGGCTTGGATCGTAGTGTAGATCTATCGTTAGCATCTCCCTCATCCATAATCGTGACAGCGGCATTGTGGAGTGTCAAAACGCTTGACGAGCTCGGGTATGTCACCGGCGACGGGGTGTGAGATGTCCTCAGCGCTGTTGGTACCTCTGAAGGAACGAGCTGGCCGAAATCGGTGAATGTGTTGGCTTGCGTTAGTGTGGTTCCCTGTGACGCGCCTTCTTCGGTGGTTGGCTGCAGATCCATCGACGAGTCCATGGACCGTTCATGCATCCGGTTTCGATCACTGTCTGAGGAGGTTGGGGTCGCCATTCCTTCGGTAGTAGCTGTGGAAATTGCATCATCGTTCTCAGCAATCGACGGTGGGTTTCGTTTTCTGCGCGCATCCTCTTCGGCAATCATCTCGCTCAAACGTTTTGCCTCCGACATTGCTTCTTGCATGGCCTCCTCGGCCCTGCTCATCCGGCGTGCATGCTTCTTTTCAGCATCGATCTGAACTGGCGACTTGGGCATGTTCTGTGTGGCGGTTCCCATGCTCTCGACACCTGCATCGATGGCATTCATGATCTCTGGTTCTCCATCTTCTAGCAGATATACAATCCAGCCATTTATCCACTCTGGTTTAGAGCAATTCCTGATCGTCATTTCCAGAACAACCCCTGCGAGTATTTCTCGAAGGAACGTTTTTGATGGTGGAAAGTTGAATGCTTTGGTGTCAAGAAAGCTTGCCAGGATGTCGTCGGCTACCAAGCGTAGCTTATGTTCTTGTTGCTGCTGGCTAAGGACATTGGCCAGGTTACTCTCAGGCTCATCTCGGAGGTATTGATGGACGGCGTCCTCAGCAGATTGACCTTGGCCAATACGAAGAGCAGTGGATAGTTCGCTCAGGAACACAATTATGATAGAGGTGGAATTTGTCACAAAGTCGAGGAATGGATCTGCAGGTCGCTTTCTCGACAGATGATTGGAGATTGAAAGAATGAAGCTTGTTAACGTTTGTCTGCAGGCAAGCGGGAAGGTGTTGTCGACCGGCAAGATTGGAGTGTACCACCATCTACATACCTGGGTCAGCAATCTGTATACTGGAGTCTACTGGATTCATACTTAACGTAGTCCCGTATGATCGCATCTGTGAAGGCGGTCAATGCGGCCGCCGTTGCCGGTTGGAACTCGGAGTAGTCGAGTGGCTTTGTTGCAAGCGACGCCTCAACCTTGACATCCTGATCTTCTGTTCCATTCTCCAGACCTCTTGTTCTGTCCTTCCAATCCAGGAGCCTCTTAGCGACTTCAATCCCAAGCTCTTTTCTCTTGCTGGTGCTCTTCTGCTGGCCATTGTGCGTGCCATCTGCCTCATCGCTTGAGCCCTCCCAAGTAGCCTGTAGTACGACTCCGATGACTGTCCCAATCAACACCAGGCCGACTCTTCCCAGGACTAGATACGTTGAAGCACAAAGCGCAACTGCACATGCTCCAAGAGTTTCGTTGCTCGCGCTGGCTAGAAAGTTGAGGAGAGCATCTGTCAAGCTTCGAACCGTTTTCGAGGTACTTGATGTCTCATTTTGCTCTGAAATAGGTTCTGTGCTTGGCTTTGAGATCTCGAGGTCCTCGGTAACTGCAGTCTCGACCGCTGGGGCCGCTGACCGAGTGGCATCCATTCACGACTGACACTTTGGCGGCAAAGGTGACATTGCACGTCTCATCTAATGTGAATGGAGTTATGTTTTTCGTCTCTCATCATTTCCTGTTAATTCTGCTACGCATTCGGAGGTTCAATTGTAGTGATGGTGCAAGACTGCACGTAACAAATTGGCCCCATGTGCGTTCTGGGGACCCTGGAATTAAATATGGCGCATCCCCGACAGGCTGGTCACAAAAAAAAGTTCCAATATATTCTTGCTGCCTCCTGAAGACACTGGATCTTGCAATATCGATTCAACCTCAAAGTTGTCAAAATGTCTCCCTCGGATATTTGCGTTACGTGCTACGAGCCACTGCTGCTTGAGATCGAGTCTGACAGTGAAGTGGACGAGGAAAGCTCAAGTCAATCCCTTGCGCCCACTGCAGTTCCTGATGATGTTGAATTTCCTTGCAGTTGCCATTTTCATTGGTAATTTTCTAAGAGCAGCATTTGCTATTTTCAGTTCGAGGATTAACGCTGGAACAGGGAATGCTTTCTAGAAGCCTACACTGTGACGGAATGTCCCAATTGCTCAGAGCCCTTATCCTCCTTGAACGCCCGGGGCGAACAGCAAGTCCTTTGCACGGTCCGAAATGAGGGCGGTGTGCAAGAAAATTTCGATATCCTTCCCTCGGCTACAGATGAGGCATACTTAAGGACATATCCAGAAGAAAGGAAAGGGCATGCGTATCTGGACTTCTGTCGCATGGGCGACGTGGACGCTCTAGTCCATCTCATCCAGGACGGGAACACAGACGGAGACAGCGGAAAATCACAAGAGGACCTCGACATTCTTAGGTACACCGGGTCTTTTGAGGGCATCGACGGTTCAGGAATGCATGTTGCCATCCGAAACGACCAGAACGAGGTTGCCTGGCTTCTGCTTGTTCTTGGTTCTTCTCTCGACTGGTGCGAGTTCCCGCCAGCAGTTCTGCATGCTATGGAAAGCATGGGACTCAGCAAAGAGGATCGAAGCGCGCAGCCGGACATCCGAAATTTAAAGGACAGTGAAGGCAAGACGGCGGCCATGGTAGCTAAAGAGAGGGGAGGTATTTGGTCGGATTGGACTAAGAGCGGCCGTCTTAATCCTCCAACCTGACCTATCCCACCCCATTGTCTCAACCCAGAATTCCGTGCCGACTAATTGATGCTTGACATCGGCAAAGATCTAAAGCAGAGGGTTGATATCGATATTCGCTATCCGAGTGAATCCGGGCATTCAAAGTAATTGCATTCATGCCAGATGCAAAGAAGATGGCGGCGGCATGCTCAGAGGAGTCTCGATGCTCCATACTGCAAGCCTTCGTTTTTCTGAGGATGTGAGGCGTCGCCTACAAGGACCAAGCCCAGTGGTGGATGAGGGACCCAGTGATAGTCATAGTAGAACAAAGGCCACGTTTCGAGAGCTCCTTTAGCAGGGATGTCAACCTCAACCTCACGATCATTTGCTCTCTTGCGTATCTTTCAGGATATACTTTGAGTGAGTCCCATGCGCAACGACCGTCCCCATCGCCTCCTCTCCAGTTGCTTTATAAATAGTCACAGTAGTAAACCCCATATTCCGACCCACCTTTGTCGTCTTGCCCTCAATTGTCAGAATATCACCCAACTTGGCCCCAGCAGAGTATGCGACATGGATGTCGGTGCTCAGTCCAGTCCTCTCTAGCCCGTGAGTCGCAATGGCCATGCCGCCCGCCCAATCCACAATAGTAGCTGAAACAGAGCCATGGAGGCTGCCCTTGGAATTGAGATGGTTAGGTCCGACAGTAAGTCGTGCGAGCATCGACCCAACAGAAGCAGAGACGATGTCGATGTCCGAGAAAAGGAAGTTGTACACCGGTGAGGCAGAGATGCGCGACCAACAGGCATTCACACTGGCCAGAGGGTCTGGGGGTGGGCTGTCCATCGTGCAGTCGAGCCTGGGGCTGAGAGACAGAGGGAGAACGACGTAGATAGAAGAGGGTAGCAAGTCTCTATGAAATTAGGGAATAGAGACCGAAGGTCAGCCGATCTACGGAGTATGAGGGTATACGTTATCGACCACTTTGAGCTATGAATTTATGGGAAGTGGAGGGACAGAAATCATTGCCGAAGTTCAACCACGCCGTGCTTCGGCCGTGATTTTGCCGGTAGAAAAAATTGTCGTGGAATGAAAAAAGTTTCGAGGTCAGATATCCAGCTGCACCTGTTGGCTGAAGTACATCTACGCAACAACCATGGGAAAGCGCATGCGTGATGATGGCCAACTGACCAAGGAGGAGAGAAGACGACTCAAAAAGACCCGAAAAGAAGCTATCAGCATCGAAGACATTACGCCGTCCTCAACCGATGTTACGCACACCCCAAATTCTGAAGCTCAGGATGACAGCGCCAGCTACACACAGCATCCTGGCTTGAATGCCCTACCACAAACAGAGATCGATAACTTTCTCAAGTCCGATGCAATTCAGATTGCCGATCCCCAAACATCTGGCCTTCGACCGATCACGTCCTTCTCCTTTCTGCCACCGTCTTTTGCTTCGGAGTATTCAAGCATCTTCAAGACCTTTTCTGCGCCATCATCTATACAAGCATTGGCATGGCCGTTTCTTTTGTCTCACAGAGATGTTGTTGGCATCGCAGAAACTGGCAGTGGGAAGACCCTTGCATTTGGCCTCCCACTGGTCGTGAGCCTGTCAGGTCTCAAGAAGAAGAAAGGTGTGCGTGCCGTGGTGATAGCCCCGACTCGAGAACTTGCTATTCAAGTTTTCGAACAGATTGAGACTCTCACCAAGGTAGCTTCATCCTCTCTTAAGGCTGTTTGCATATATGGTGGCATGTCAAAGGAAGATCAACGCAGGTCCCTGTCCTCAGCAAATATCATTGTTGCAACTCCCGGTAGGCTGAAGGACTTCATGAGTGACGGATCCGCCAATCTGAGCAAGGTGAAGTATCTCGTTCTTGACGAGGCGGACAGAATGCTGGACAAGGGTTTCGAGGATGATATCAAAGAGATTGTGGGTAAGATGCCTAGCTCGAAGAAGCGACAGACAGCCATGTTCACGGCCACCTGGCCGAAGAGTATACGTGAACTGGCGGCTACGTTCATGACTGAGCCGGTAAGAATAACGATTGGAAGAACAGATACAGAGGATTCTGGAGAATTAAGAGCCAACACGAGGATCAAGCAGTCCGTCGAGGTTGTCGAACAGCATGAGAAGGAGGGAAGATTATTGCAGCTCTTGAATCAATTTCAGAAGGGCGATAAGAAGAAGGATCGTGTCCTCGTGTTCTGCTTGTACAAGAAAGAGGCGTTGCGGATTGAACGATTTATTCGCTCGAGAGGCTTTAGGGTCGCGGCGATTCACGGTGACATGTCCCAACGAGATCGAATCGCTAGTCTTGAAGCATTCAAAAAGGCAGAAGTCAGCTTGCTCGTTGCCACAGACGTTGCGGCGAGGGGCCTTGACATCCCCAACGTCAAAGCCGTTATCAATGTAACATTTCCCTTGACAGCCGAAGACTATGTCCATCGCATTGGTCGGACTGGTAGAGCAGGTGCAGATGGTATCTCAGTCACTCTGTTCACCGAACAGGATAAAGGTCTTGCTGGTGGTTTGATCAATGTCCTCAAAGCTGCTAAGCAGGAAGTCCCAGAAGCTCTGCTCAGGTTTGGTACCACGGTCAAGAAGAAGCAGCATGAGGCCTACGGTGCCTTCTTCAAGGAATCCGAGGAAGGGAAGACTGCGACGAAAATCAAGTTCGATGATTGACCTGTGGGTCATTTGAGCCTGGTTTTGTCTCGCTCTTGAACCTGGAAGCGAGGCGGTCTGGTAATAAAGAGGATATGTATTCCATCAGAAAGTTCCGCTCGAGAAAAAGTCTGTCACCTATGTCAGCTGCTTAGATCTTGAACGAGACGCTCTTGAACTTGCATGATAGAGCCACCAGTTGCGCAAACCACTAGAATATCAAGCACACCAGCAATACTCTGTTTATCTTCGATTGTATTTCTCCTCATGATGCCTGCCGCAGCTGCACCAACGACGAAGATGCCAGGACTAGGCAGCACGTCCCTGATTATGTCCATGCTGCCATTGTTTCTCTTCAAGTATCTCGCAATAAACCAGGAGCTCCACACAATCCGCAGCAGCATATTAAAGATATTCCCAAATACCAATCCCCTAGCACCTAAATCCAGCACGTGAAGCAGGACATATGCCGCCCCGACATAACCTGCAGTAAAAGCGCCCATCCACAACGACTGCTGCCTCAACTCCGCGGGGCTTGCAACGGTAGTAACAAAAGCGTCCAAGATTCCATTATACGCCATGACGGGGATATAGTAACAATACGTGGACAGAATCCCCGCGATATCGGGCGTGAACCATGCAGGTCCCACCAGGATCTTAACGAGGAGCGGGAGGAGCGTATACAAGAAACAGAATGACAGCACGGCAATGATGCTGTATAGATGCAGCATATCGCCGAGCTGTCGTATTGCCGCTTTCAGGCGGGTAGGGTCGACTTGCCCGTTTTTATTTAGCTTTGACAGTAGCATGCCGAATGAGTTGCGGCTGCTCTCTTCGTAGGGTTGGAATAGCAGACGCGCTAGGAGGCCGCCATAGTTTGAGGCGAGGGCAAATGCGCCTTGGTCTTCTAGGGAGGCGAGAAAGCCTAGGATGAGGGCGTCACCTTGGGTTAGGATTTGCTTGAAAACGGATTGGGCGTAGAGGGTGCTGGCGAAGGATACGAGCGGTTTATAGAAACGGAATAAGAGATACTCAGGACTTCTTTGGACGATCGTGGGGAATATTGAGACACCATCTTGGCTTGTTAGAGGTAGGACGGCTGCCATGTATCCGCCAGCTAGAACAGATGCATACACGACTTGACCAACCGCGAAAGGCAGGACTGATGGTCTCAACTGTCTTTGACTGGCGATAAAGGCTGTCAGGCATGTTGCTGCGCATTTGGAGATAGCAGCAGTGGTCTCGATCCTTGCTCGAGACTTGTATAGAAGTCTCTCCTGAACGACCACGAAACATGGCTCTGAGAGAAGCTCGATCAGAGTAGCGATGGCGTAAGTCTGCAAGCTGAGACTGAAGTAGGGGCTTTGCTGGATGTCGATGTTGCCGCTCTGGCCTTGTTGATAAAGCCAGCCAAGTACCACGGTCAGGGGAATGCCCAAGCAGACAGCCAAATAGGAGAGGTTGACGATGACCTGAGTCTGACGTGCTCGAGCAGAAGATGCTGCGTTCGAGTCTGTTGACGTCGAACCATCCTCGCGAGAGATCTGACGCTGTAGAGCTACTCTCAGACTTTCACGCGAGAAATAGAGCACGGATACAGAATATAATTCGAGCTGTACTGCGATGCCCAGGAGCTGTGGTGATAGATATCGCAACACGAATTGGTTGCCGGCGAAAGTCAGGGCTCGAGATGCGATTTGTATGATGATCAGATAGATCGTTCCTCCAGCTGCTTGACCGAGCTTTGCTTGGGTATCGTTCCCATGGTTGAGATCATCTTGGGCCATGTAGTGGTGAAACTTGCAGTACTGTCCTGGTTGGGATGACTGGTGTGATGGAAGTTCCTTCTGACGCTTATCAACGCGAGGGCTTCATCTTCATAGACCTATAACATATCAGAATTTGCACCATACACACGTCCAACAAAAACTGTAGCTCGTAGCATTCATAAAGAAACACCTATTATATGAAATCTAGTGTGCAAGCGCTGAGAGTATCTGAAGCTTTCAGCAGTACGTGTAAGCAAATCGAGCTACCTCAGCTAGGCTACGTTTACAACTGCAGCACGTAAGAGGGTACTACAACTGGATGATTGTTCTGGCTTAATACAAGCTGTTGCGTTGCCCAAGCGGAACTTATGAGGCCAGAGCCGGCAAGAGAGCCGGTGGGAGTTCATATGCTTGGATATAGTCCAGAAAACATTCCAGATCGACGCCAGATACGGGAACGAGCAGCACTGTCACATTGATCAGAGCGACCAAGAGGATGGGTACTGCCAAACGCACAGCGGAGCCGTGCTGAGATAGAACGCGTTGTGCTTTGATGGATTAACTGCAGCGCATTTTGTGGACCTCTCCACAGTTACATATGTACAACACCTATTTCTCTGCCTGAGCTTTTCCACCAGTACAACTCGCCATTTATCCATTTGTGGACCAGAAACGCAGCATCTCAATACCAAGTCTTGTGGCCCTAGGCTCATGTTAATATCGATGTTCTATCCACATGCTCAAGGGTGTGTGGAGGCCTTACCAACACCATACGGCACATAGCGTAAGTGGTAGCAGTGAGACTACCGTATAACAAGACATAATAAGGGTAAAGAATGTATGCGCTTCGATGCGACTGATATTATTCTCTGGTAAGCTCCATGGTGACAATAATGTACAGGTGGTGTACGCACTTTCCACCATATCCTTTTGCCGTCGTCCTTTTGCATTAGTCGTTGGTAGTAGGGCACTCTGTTCTCGCGGTAGACCCATCTATTTGCAAATATGCTGCGGTCAGAACCAACAGGTTAACATCAACTTCTGTAGCAGTTCGGCCTCTTGGAGGACTCACCCTTTCATGCTTGAGGGTGAAGAGTGAAACGTTCGAATCCGTGTGGCCTGGGCCATGCGAGCAGCTCTGGAGGTCAACATTATGGACCACACCAGGTAGAGGGATGCTTGCGAAAGGAGAACTTGGCTAGTTCGGGTGCGAATAACCAGTGATTGGAGGAGCGAGGAGCAAGGAGCAAGGAGAGAGGGAAGCTGTCAAGCTCCGCGCCACGAGGAATCACGTGCAGAGCTAAAACTGTGAGGTGGCTTGACATGAATGGCATAACAATGCTCTCTGACCGTAATCCATATCGCTAACACAACTCGACGCTGCAGACAAAGCCAATTACGACGATGATTTGACTATGAGGAACTTGGTCATGGGTCCTGTTGAAGCAGAGATCTGATGCAAAGATGGGCCGGTTTCGCAACCAAGCGACATGGCTTATGTTTCCAGATCACCAATTTCTTATACCTAGGAAACAAAATCCAACACGATGTCGTACCTCGCATCAGTGAGCGCCATGGGCTTCATCAGCGTCGTGCAGGACGGATTCAAAGCAGATCATTCACCCAGCAGGGATTGCTGTCTTCTGTCTCGCAGTACAGCTCAAACCCCAATTGGCAATCAGATCTCGAGTCGGCCACTCTATCCGACGACCGTTTCGCCGACCTGCTAAGTGACGCAGTCAGATACTTCATTCATGATGTGGAAGCTCTGGACTTTCAATCATCCGTAACCAGTGTTGTTGGCCATAACACTCGGCTTGTGGACCAGCCAAGATACCAGTTCGATTTTGAGCTATGGGCGATTCTTCTGCGCTACCGCATGCGTGCTTATGGTGGTGCAGGAATCAAAACCATCTGGGAATATTTTACACGGCGCGATCGAGTGAGATTACTACCAGCTAATTGGACGACGGAAGACTACTTGTGGGGTGTGTTCGTGACCCTGGGTCTCAACGACCATGAGTTTCTCTATGCTATTGCTGAGCACGCCCGGCAACTCTGGCAAGAGCGAAGGATGCGGCGCTCGACACTGTATGTTGAGGTTGTGGGAGGTTTACTCGAAAGCGAAGATTCTGCAATTGCTCCAAAATTCTCTGAAATCATGCATCCTGGAGTCTCCATAAGTTCAGAAGAGCTGATTCAGCTGTTCGAGCATGCTTGCAGATCAGCAAACCCAAAGGCTTTAGAGCACTTCCGGTGGATTTGTGATTCTGTTTCTAATTACAAAATTTATGGGCAGATCATATCCATTCTATGTGAGCAAGACCGAGTTGTCGAGGCCATCGAGATGCACCGTGAGCTCATCCGCCGCCGTGACTGTCCTACAACTTTCAAGGAGGTCGAGCCACTAATCCGACGTCTTGCACATGATAACCTTGGTCTCGCGGCCTTCATTCGCCCTTTGGTAGAGGCAGACATCTCGTTCAGTCGACAGGCACAGAAGCTCTATGACTCGGCCAAGGACACTCCTTTCGGCATCCCTCGCGAAGAGATAGACCTTGCGAGAAACAAGACTTTTGGCGTCAAACGAGCAAAGATTAGTGATGCATTTGCAGCAAGATTCTTCGCTACCAAGTCCTTCTCCTTTGAATTCGCCCTGCACGGGCTTCATATGCTGGGACTTGACGAGGTAGGACCACTATCTTTACGTCAAATTGCTTTGCAGGCAGGTAATGCTACACTTTTCCGGCAGCGACTGGCACAGGTGGACAGTATGGAGCTTGACACTGGGGCCTCCGCATACTCGAGGGTCATCAGGAAACTTGTCAGAGAGCAACGAGATTCTATGCTCATGGACGTCATTAACTGTGATCAACATCCTGATGTATTTGAAGATCAACAAGTGCAATTTCAACTACGTAACAAATACCACCACGAGAAAGATTGGCGGCAACTTAATCGAACATTGGCTGTTCTCAGTCTTTGGGGAGATAGCAAGCAGCATGCGTTGAACGGGATGCTCCGCAGCGCCTTGCTGCGAAAGGATTGGCCAGAAGTCTCCAAAGCTACAGCTCAACTAAATCAAAATAAGAGCCCTGTCTCGAAAGCTAATATCATCCTGATGTACCAATCCATCCTTCGTCCTCGCACAACACCTTGGTGGGTACCTGTGAGGGGAAAGCGCATCCATGATCTAGTATTCTTGATCACGCTATGGCAGAACAGTCTTATGTCTGGTACCGATATCCCTACAAACGCTTGGCGCGAACCTTTACGGCGTTTAGGTATGATGGGCAGGTGGAACGATTTAACAAAGGCTTGCCAATGGCTGTGTTCTTTCTATGCTCCAGATATCACCCCAATGACGGACAATATCAATGACAATCTCGCTGTCCTACCTGTGAAGCCAGGCACCAGAAAACAGGTTGATTCTTCGATTCTCAACGAGATTCTGCACCCGGGGTTTCAGAGGGCTATAGTGCATTGGGGATTTATTGCTGGCCTGAGGGCCGGTATGGTACCCTCAAGACATGAAGAAGTTTATCTTGGGAAGAACCGGAACCTTCGCCAGGTACCTTGGGTATGCGGCATTGAGCTTTTACGTAGTTTTCAAAAACTTTATGGCCTGCGCTTACACGACGACGAGATCAGACGGGCCTGTCAACAACGGCTCCGCCAATTATTCACACCCCATGGGAACTCAAGACGATGGTACAATCGCCAAGCCAAAGCGATAAACAGACACAAGCTGAATTACTATATTGATTGGATCAACATGGTGTACGGAGATACTCTGATTGATCCCCTTGATGTGCGAACCATGGCGTATATCTATAAGGCAGGTCAGACAGAGTCTTGCCGGGTCAAATCTCTAGGGTCAAGGTCAAGGCCAAGGCCAGAGCCGCTCACCGGAAAGGAACATGATGCTTCGAGTGGGGGAGACGTGGATGGAGGAGACGACTTCGTGATGTATAGAGACCTCTTCCATGCTTCGTGGGAAGATTATCAGCCAGCAGGCCACAAGAATAAGAAATAGTGTTCCTAAGGGTGAATGGGCAGACAAAGCAGCAGCAGATTTTGACACATGTGGTTAGAAGGGTCTTGGTCATCATTCAAAATTATACTTCTTCTGCCGCCGCTTTTACCTGTCACCTTGTCACCCCATCAACTGAAGAGACTAACGCGATCTGGAAAGAGATACACCTGTAATACTAGGGTACCAGAAGAACTGATTCTGTAAGCTATCAACCTTGAATCGAGCGTCCTACTTGTATTGCCCTTCCACGATGCATCCTCCAACATCTTCTCAAATCATGGCTAGGAGACCGCTGACAGAAAGATCCGCCCAAGGGTGGAATCAACAGCCCGGAAGAAGGATGGGCGGCTCACAGAAACGTGTGTATGGTAAAGGGAGCACTGCCTCGTCCAGGGCTGTGCTAAGCGAGCAATTTCTTGACGAGAATGAAGTCGACCAGCAAAATGTTCAGGGTGGTCATGGAAAGGCAGTGTCTCCTTTGTCCTCCTCCTTATCATCTGCCTTGTCGTACACTCTGTCACTTGAAGATGGTGCCAAGCATGTATCCCCTGCCCCTGCTGGTTCTGTTTCGGAAAAGGGCAAAGAAGTCCAGAACCTTCTGGTGAGTCTTCGTCCAGGACAGAGATTTGGCCTCCTCTGAGCGTCCAGAAGATGACAAACTGACCCCTGAGAAACAGGTTGTCGACTCAACGGCCGCCACTTACATTTCCCCTTTGCTTGCTGAATGTGACAAGCCGAAAGGCCTCTATGATTTCCTGACCTGGGCAGAGAAGGCAGCGAAGACCTTCAAGGTCACAAAAGTGGCAGAAGGCTCATACGGTGAAGTCTTCAAGCTGGAAAAGAAAGACATGCCTTCTGAGAGATCTGTTCCCACCCCCGAACACGGGCAACAGGCCCAAGGTAGTAGCATCTTCAAACTAATTCCGCTCCGACCCAAGTCCAGCAAGTCAGCCAAACAGACAAGTCTGGAGAGTCTTGTCCGTGAAGTACAAATGCTCAAACTCATGGATCCCGTTCCCGGATTTGCGCGCTTCAAAGGCCTCAAGGTGCTGCGGGGATCTTATCCTCCATCTTTTGGCGAAGCTTACTACTATCACAAAGCCAGGAGGCCGAGCGATTCCCAGAACCCTCGACCATCAACATACCGAGATAAGCAGCTGTGGGCCCTGATCGAAATGGACGATGCGGGCGAAGACCTAGAGAACCTAAAATCACCATCGGTATACCAGATCTTCGACATCTTCTGGCTCACCTGCTGTGCTCTGTCTTACGGGGAAGAAGAGGCAGCATTCGAGGTTAGTGCTGAGTCCCCGCTCTGTATTCGGCTCATAAAAGCTGGGCTAACATCTCCTCCCTTCCCCTATTCCAGCACCGAGATCTCCACATCGGCAACATCTGCATCAAGCCCACGACAACACGCAGCAGCACTACGAAGACCCCTGCAAACACTCTACCCGACGCCAACCTCCCGCCCACAACCAGCTTCGGCCGCTCCTCGCTCAACGTCACGATAATAGACTACACCCTCTCCCGCGCCACCACCGCCACCAGCAGCAGCAGCAGCAATGAAGCATCCTCCCCAAACTCCAGCAAATCCTCCTCCGCGCCCCCAGTCACCACGAAACCCAGCATAATATACACCCCGCTCCCGCCCAACTCCTCCATCTTCACCCAATCCACCAGCCGTCACCCCGTCCCCAACCCCACCCTACAGCGCCAAAACTCAACCTACCGCGCCATGCTGCGCCACGCCCAAAGCGTCGAAGCGCGCTCACGAGCAGAAGACCCCAGTCGCGAAAACCGAAAGAGAGATATGTGGCAACGCTTCATGCCGCGCACGAACGCGCTCTGGTTGGCCGCCTTGCTCTGGACGCTGCTGCGTCGATTCGAGCAGGGGGCTGAGCGTGGTGGTGGTAGTAAGAGTGTTGGTAGTGGTGGGAATGATGATGCAGGTGAGGAGGGGAGGGAGAGGCTGGTTCTGGCCGGATTGAGGAGCTTGCTTGATTTACTAGACGGGGAGGAGATGCTAGACAGCGCTGGGGCAGTTGTCCTCGCCGCGATAGAGAGGGGGTTATTGCAGAGGCGGGATTGGGATGGCGTTAGGGCGTGCTTGGATGGGGATGCGGACTCTGGTTCATGCTCGGCTACGAAATGAGAGCGAGAGAGAGTGGGGAATGCTGAGTTGGGCCTGTTATCTCAAAGGGACGGAACAGCCATTATCCTGAAGCATCGATGAGCTGGAGTTTTTTTTTCGTCTCTCTCTCTTCTTCTCGAGTATTGAAAGCATGCGTGCATGATACCCCTGGAGTTGGGAAAGGCGGGATTCAGTTTTCATTCTGCGGGAACAAAATTCCTGATCTCAATTTCTATGATAGGAATCAGGAATCAAGAGTCTTGTACGGATACTAGATAGACAGCAAGATGGCAGGCTACCGTACTACTAGTACCTCCCACCCTTCTTCAAGCTCTCCAGTCCTCAAACGTACATATTTCAGCCACTCAAAGAGATATGTGGCGCGGTCCTTGTTGGATCTGGAGCCGTGCAATCCAGCAGTCCACATGTTGCTGGCACAATAGACGGTTTTACCCCCCCGCCCCCCCCCTCCTTTCTCTCTTCAACCTCCCAGGGAAGCGCACAAGCTGTTCTTTTTCCCTCATGCCGCTTGGTGAAGCTTTTCTATCCTCCGATCTCGGTGCCCATTCAGCCACTCTTCTGCCAAGATAACTCCATTCCCCATCTACTTAGCAGGAAGAGGCCCTCTTAAAATACTAATGCTAAGGGAGCCATCAAAATGCGCTTAGACTAGTAAGCCTAACTGTGATATTACTTAGAGAGTATAAGGATATACAAGCCTAGTCGTCCACAATCTAATAAAATCTTACTATCTACAACGTATTCTACTAAAAATATAGTTATAGTATGGTCAAAATATGCCTCTCTTATCATATTAATATGGTGGTCGTTTGACAGAATGACTACTAATAGCACTTAGCGCATACTTATCTTTAGCTACCCCTTCTCCTAGTAAGTAGCTCCACTCCGCTATGCCATGCCGTAGTCCCGAAACAGAAGAGTGGATTTCTCGGGTGTGGTAGCCCCAGCAAAATCTCCCAGCAGCTGTGTCTGTCATGCATTCATCCATGGTTCATAGTGATGACGAGATCAGAGACGAGGATGGGAAGAAAGATTGGGGAAACGCGCTTGAAGGCATGGCATGGAATGATCGCAGGGAGTTGTGGGAGGGGGAACACCGTCCCCGGTCTGTGATGATGGTTTTGTGTAGAGGTTGATTTCAGAGCGGGGTGGAATGGGATGGGGTTCGCACTTGGTTTGCGCGGTTGGAGGGGGGGGGATATGCTGAATCCGGTTGAGCTGCCGCCCGCTGGCGAGTTGAGGGTTGGGGGGGCGATAGATGTGGTGAGGAAGTCGGACGACTTCTGTAGAGAGCGGAGACTGTAGTACTAGTGGTTGGGGAATCCTGCCTAGAGAGGTGGGTGAGTGTGAGGAGGGAGGTGTGGTATTGTCAGCATATTAAAAAGCTCTCGATTCGATTCTACATTGTACTGTTGCTGGATTATGGATTAGGGATTTGGAGGAAGGGAAGTTAGTTCGATGTGTCTGAAGAGGCACTGAGTGAGAAGACTGGCGATGATTAGGTTGAGAATTGAGGACAATGGCACAATTTTCGCTCTCATTTGCGGGCATGATTCAGAATGGAAATGTAAGATGAGAAGAGGGGATGGCAACGTTGCAAGGTGGTAGCGAGCCGCAAGGCCTCATCAGCTCTGATTAAGATTGGACTGGACGTCCGCCAAGACATATTGATGAGAGAGATTATGAAAGAGTACGAGGACTAAGGACTGTAAGGTGATGAAATGTGTGTTAATGATAACAGAGGCACAACGGCCACTAAATCACAGTCTGAGAGAGCTCGAACATTCACGCAACACAATATGTGCTGAACGTCCACTTTGGCCCAGAACAGACATCAAGATGTGACACCTACTGGCATCTGCGTTCTTTGTATACTCTCGAATATTCTAAGGTAGAAGCGGCCATAACACTGTTGCTTAAATATGTTTATATCAGACTAGAAACAAGATCGTGTATTCACTAGTTAGTACTAAGTATCTCAGCCCTAACACCTTACCGAATCCTCTTCCCATGATTCTAGAATGATAGGCTGGTTTTCTGCGTGTATGGCGACTGCTATCTTCCCCTTTTTGATGTAAGAATTGGGAATATACACTATGATGTCCTTGTTGATTCTTGATCCAGATGTCAGTAAACCTGCTGTTGCATAGCTTTCAGTGCATGCTCGTACTTGCTTTGAATAAAGGAGCGTCTCCAAAGATCAATGCAGTCATTAATTCTCAGACAAGGCAGCCAACATGAACGAAGCCTGGAGCCTCACATCCATGCAGCTCTGATCCTAAAACCAGAAGATCATCAAGAACCCCGATTGGCCTGCACATAAACCACCTACGACACCATTTGTCCTAAGTTAATTAGTGCTTCCACCGCTCCTCATATTGATCATGTCAGACTCCTGCAGCATGCATGTATCGAATGACCCCGGGGTATGAGGTTAATCTGATGCAGCACTGACCTATGTCATCCTGGTGAGGCGAGAGACCCAGAAGTGAAGCACAGGAAGATCAATGAGAAATCAGCCGTCCGCCAAGAGGATTCTTGTGGGTTGCAGAAGCAAAGACACCCGATACCCAGAAAATGCCTTCCCCTTCGCCTTCGGGGAGCCGGATACGAATACGAGGGCTTTTACAGGTACATCAAAACAAATCCCGAAAAATGCGTGAATGGATTGCCTAGCTTAGAGGATGTCGCCTGAGTCTCGACAGAAGAGGAAGAGTGATTTGAAGGATAATTTCTAGTCCAGCCGAATGGGTACCACCCATAGAACAAAGACTGTTGAAGTCCCGGAATCGGGCAATACTACATGTTGCTTTCAAGAATGCATCTCATAGCAGATAAAGAAACTACATTTGCTGTAGCTACATCTGTAATTTAATGCCGACCCATCTCCTGGGCTCTCGCCTCATTTCCCTCCCTACTGTTTGGTTTATGGGAGAATCACAGGGATCTGTATATCCACATCGTTAGTTTTAACTCGGTGACCGCTTTCCCTTTCCAATATCCTCATTATTTCCCTTCCAACCAGCTCCGGGAAAGGTAGCGTGACTTACCAATGGAACAAACTCCCTACTGCTAAACCTCCACTCCAGCTCCGGCCAATGGGCGCCTCTCCTGGTCCGGACAAACTTATCATTGAAATACCCGTTGAAAGTGTTGGTGACGTTGGGGCCCAGCAATCCAAAGACCGTCTCCAGCAAGTAGACATTGCCAGTGGCGGTGCCGGCCTTGGAGTCCACGTTCAATGTTTCGCTGGCGAACAGGTGCTGAGTCTGCGCCTTCCCGGTGATCTCGCGGATTTTCTCCTTGATGGCATCAACGCCGTACACGGTGCCAAAGGTGATGGGAATAGAGTAGGTGGCGTTAGGGGTGAAGAGTGCGTCGAGGCGGTCGAGCTCTTTAAAGTCCAGGGCAAGGGGGTAGAGGTTGATGGTTTGACGGATGGAGTGGACATCGGATAGGTATTGAGTGGTGGAGTCTTCCGCGAAGGCGGAGATGGGTGCGAAGAGGAGGAGAGGGAGGAGGGATAGAGGAGAGATCGAGAATTTCATGATCGCGGACAGGCGCTGTTGGGTTAGCCGTGGCGGACGCTTCGAGTGGCGGTTGAAATGGTCACTGAAGGAGGATACTCCTTTATATACACATCTACACGACGTCAAACAAAGTGACGGTAGGACCTGTCAACTAGTTAGTACAGTAGCGACGTCTAACCATACCATAGTGGAAACCCACGCCACGCTCTGGCAAGTACGATCTCAATGCAGGCTTCGGTTTGTAAAAGCTTTGGCAAAGACTGCCTCTCTCGGAATCCCAGGTTATATATAGCTAGATCCCCATAATCGCAACGCAGGTCACATTAGGAGGGGGGGATTTGAAGCTGTGCAAGAAGCACTCAACAACAATGTAAGTGGCGAAGGTAGACTTCCTTCCTGCAATTACCCTAGCAGTACTGGGGATTGAGACAGCGCAGCGGGCTTCTACACAACACTCAACGGAGACTTCTTGATGTACCGATCGTCCTACAAGTCCTCCGTCTTCACGCTGAGAGATGATAAGAGAAGAAAAAAGGTTCCCAGTTGTTAGAAAGTCTCGACGGCTCATAACCAGGGAACAAGATTACCGTTGGTAATACTTATTCCTTCGCAATACACGATTTTAACTGTCAAATTTTGGATAAGTTACAATACCACAACCAACACTGGTACTGAATTAGATAACACTAAGCCTAATTAGATCCTAAAATTTCTCAAAATTTTCACCAAAGAATCCCGAAAGCAATCCGTCCGCTCAGACTCAAAGTTCATCAAAAATCAAACACAAGATCTGTCCAAAATTTTGAGATTTAGCTGTAAAATCCATGTAAGTGATCCATAATTTCCGCCAAGTAACGACTCGCGAAGCTTGCATTACAAAACGTACGAAAACGTACCTCGACCCCCTGCTCATAGCACGGCCGCCATAACGCCGGCTCGAGGTGCTGCCGAAGTTTCGAATTTTATGAGCCCGCTAACAAATGAAGGTCAAGCGAGCGCGGGGGAGTGAGTGCTTTGCAAAGAAACAGCTTTAATACTATTAAGAGACAGTCGTAGCTGGAAATCGTCCCGCATGCCATGCTGATACTGTACTCCCGTACATGTCGTGTTCTTTCGCTTGCAGAGCCACTGAGCTGCCAGCATGAACAGCGCACGTGGGGTTTAGGGACAGAGCTAGTTATGGTTCGTGGGCTTGGGAGTGAGTTGGGGAGCCGGCGGGCCAGGGGGTAGGGGGTAGGGACTGAACAAACCCCCCCACCCGTCTATGTCACTGTTGAGACATCACTCATCACACCAGCCAAGGGTACACTTGCCCAATTTCCGAGCGTCATGCAGCTTCTTCTACCTCAGGTTCGCATTTCCCATGAGCTTGACCGTAACGATCGGATGGGGTCCGCAGCTGGGTTTAGCATCTCAGCTAGACATCAAAACTTGACGTGCCTCGCTACTGAAAACGTCGGAAACCAGAAGTGACATTTTATTACAGTGTTGGGCATTGCTTTGAAATTATTTACGTCCTCGAGTCTGCTTGGACCGTCACCGCAAAATCCTGCGTCTTGATCCCCTCCCTCATCTCCACATCCTCATCATTACCAGTCCCATTGACTTTGACACCCACAGCGGTAACCGTCATTCTCCTCCCCTTTGGTCCCTTCTCATACTCACCGCTATCCCCGGACGTCCTGAATGTCTCCTGCTCTTCTTCCTCGTCGTCTTCAATCTTCAATACCACCTCTACTACATTGCTGTCCTCAATGATCTTGGGATGCCGCTTGGCGAAATACTTGGCGTATTTCCATATACTCCAATAACAACTCGCCACGTTGACAAAGGTGAGCACGAACTTGAATCCCATGTAGTAGAACAAACACAGGGTGGTGACCCGCTCGTTCCGCATGCGGAGGTGCACCTCATTGAAGAGGACAGCGTTGAGGAAGTACAGCCCAGCCGTGCCGGCGAACAGGTACAGAGAGAACAGCGGCTGCACATAGAAGGATATCGGCAGCACGAACGGCGTGATCAGGTACAGCAGCGTTTCGTAGATCTCCTGGAAAACGAAGAGCTTGGCGCCGATTTCCCACCAGCCCAGCTTCCAGCTGAACAGGATATATTTCATGTTGTAGTACATGCCGTTGACGAAGAAGAAGTTCCACCGCTTGAAACGCTGCTTGAACACCGTCATCTCGCCGAAGCCACCACGCGCGGCTCCCCTGCTGGCGAAAAAGAGCACCGGCGGGGTCTCGGTCTCCACAAAGATGGAACTACACATTTCGATGCGGGAGCCGAGCTCGCGAGCCACGTGGCCGAAGAACCAGTCCTCCGACACACTGAACCCAGGATGTTGCTTGAAGGTTTCAACCACGAATTCGCGGTCCCAGAGACCGATCGCTCCATGCGCAAAAGTAGCACTTCCGATCTTGCCCGCGAAAAGGCGCTGAACGCCTGAGAGTTTGTATTCAAGATCCTGCGCCTGATGGCAGAGGGTGCCGCGCGAGCTGTTGGGGCCGGTTGACTTAATGGTGTATCCTATGCATTTGGTGCGAGCATTAAGCCGGTCAGTCACGACAGGGAAATTGGGCGGAAGCAGGCAATCATCGTCGATGAAGATGATAAAGGGAAAGCGTTTGGCCACGCGGGCGCCGACGAATTGTGCGATCAATTTGCCACCGATGGGACACCAGGTGTGGTTCACGCCGTAGGTGGTGCACACGGATTCCGTATTGTCGAGAGGCGTGGGAGAGTTGCCGTTGGCGAGGACCTGCAGTATTAAACCGTTGGTATCTTTGAATGCCGGTGTAGATGGGAAAAGGATTCAACATACGAAAATGTTTTGTGGGGGGAATATTTCCAGTGCGGCCTTGATTGTCGCACCGATGATTTTTTCTGATTTGTAACAAGGAATGACCAGAGCTGTCGCGTCTGCTCCCCAGCTTCGCAGGACACTGGGATGAGGCCGAAACTGGATGGGCGCTTTGGGTTCGAAGAAGCACACCAGCGGGCCGAATGCATAACTAGTTGCGTCAGTGGAGATTTCTGGAGCAAGAAGAAAGGGTGCTTACAGAGCGGCAAGACCCAGGAATATCGCCGAGCCACCGACAATGACGAACTTTCTCGCAATCAGAATGTACATATACCAGACAGCACCACGCCATAAAGGCATCCCGACCAGCACCAGATACACAGATGCGATCAGAAGAAGGTACATCGTGTACTCAAACGAGTACTGAACCCAGGTGCTGCGTTTCAACTGTTCCTGTCGAATCTTTGCTTTCTCATAAAGATCCGCCATACTCCCTTTCCGTACTCTTGTGATAACCCTCTCGAAAGTGTCTGCCACAACAACACTCGCTCTGCGTATGGCATTGACGCGCAGCGATGAGACTGTCGGTCGTCGAGCGGGTGCATCTTGTGGTGGTGGTGCATCCTGCCACGGAGCCAGCTGCAGCGACTCGGTGGTCATCACTCTTGACACCCTTGGACTGAGGCTCAGCGACTCATGGGTGGTTCTTCTTGGTGTTCTAGGGCCGTCACTACCAAATCTTTCCCGGTCATTGCTGGTCCTGGTGTCTCCACTCGAGTAGAGTAGCGACGCACGGTTTGAGATTTTTTGCCGTTGGCCGAAGGTGAAGGAGGATAGATCACGGAATGTATGAGATTGGTTGATCGGACCCTCTGGAGCTGCTCGGTCCTGTTTGGATGGGTTTGTGTTGGCTCCTGATGGCCATACTGACGGTGAGACGAAGGCAGACGTCGGTCGAGGTCGACGACGCCCACGAGATGAATTGGTCAGCACCCGTTCGGGTGGCTGCGGGAAAACGTTCTCAAGGAGGACGGGCGGACCTCCTGCGAAACGATAGAGGGATCCTGCTTGTTCTGCTCGCTCGTCGATGGCGGAAAGAACATTGGCAGGGTACCGTATGCCGGTCTCCCGAGCCCGCTGCAGTCCTGCGATGTTGATGCTGGCCGCTCTCGCTATCCGTGTAGGTTCTTTGATAGCCTCACGTATATCGAATTTTGCAGGCTCAGCCTCGACTGCCTCTGCTTTCCTTCCGTCCAGATATACAGTATTGGATTGTCTTCGAAGTAGGCCATTGGGGATGGCTACAAGCTCCGCCTCGGGAGAACCGTCGTTGAGTGGATCGTGAGCAGACTCCATGAGAACAGATGGGCGACTGAGGAGTGGTTGTTGGGACAGAAAGCCATCATATGTCCAAGGGGAGAGAACGTATTTGGGGTAGCGGAGGTCTTCATCGTGCTTGGTATGAAAGATGCATGGATGGCGTCACAGAGCCCACCACACAAAGTCAATTGTCCGCTGGTAGACCTGGTGACTAACACGAACTTGAAAATAAGTCAAAATCCAAGGAAATAGACTTGACAATGAAGTGTATAGAATTGCCGATTTGAGGAAGAGGCGTCGGCTGCATGTGCTGATTGGCAGCACGTCCATCAGGAACACACCTTGGCTCCAAACCCTGCACCCTCAAGCAAAGTCGCAATAAGCTTTCCTGTGGGCAAAGGTGGTGAGGCTAGCAAAGCTACACAACAAGGAAACTGTATAATTTGAGTAATAGGATTGAAGAAAGGCCCAAAGAGGCAAGCTACTCGGTGCCCCAATAGGAAAGATGTGCATCGCGTCATCCGACATGGGAAAAGCTCAAAGTGGATCCAGGTTGCACATCGTACTCCGTAGATGGGATCTGGCCAAGTCCTGCACCGAGATCTGTTTAGCGCGAGTGTAGGTTGACGCTAACTCAGCCGCAAACCAGAACTTGGGGCCTCCGGGCTGTCTTCGGATACGTCAGGATCCGTATTCGCCCTGAAAGAACCCCCCTTGCCCAAAGAATTGCTACAAGAGATGTGCATTGGTGTGGGCACTGGAGGTTGCATCATCGAAAAAGAGATCTGGTGACTGACCTTGCTTATATCCACCGTCCAGGGCGTGAGGAACAGGCCATTGCCATTTGTGATGTCGGCCGAATACGTCGGGACATGTTCCAGGGGCAGTAGGAATCATGACGGTCATCACCGCGGAAGTAAGATAGATTCCTCTAGTCCCTACGGGTGGAGCAAAGTATGCAAATCCGAGATTTCCATTCTTTTTCGATGCGGACCGAGGCAGCTGCTTGACATGTCTACTACACGTACATCCTAGTACTAGTAGTATTTACCTTCGACTTCATTGACATTCCTTCGTGGTTTTGCCAACCATAAACAGAGATCACCAATCTCGGCATCCACGATGGTGTGCTGGGTCCAGGCACCGCGGACTCGCAAGGATGTTGACTACCGTACGATGTCCCCAGAATCAAACTGAGAATATAGAGAGAGTCTCGGCTCTCGGCGAGGCCCCAAGGATGAAAATTCCAAATGTGAATAAAAGTTGATTCCAATGCGGTAGCCGGCGGATATTGGTCATGGCATATCTTGAAAACTGTCTATTGGGGCGCTGAGCACTACCATTTCCAATCTGGGTAGAGGTAGATGTGTCAGAGCAGGTAGGTAGCTTGTTAGCGAACTGGTGGAAAGGATGCAATAGTGTGTTGCGGCTCATTCAACCACAAGAAGACTCGAGCTGCTTTGGTTGAAATTCTTTCCGGGCCGGAGGCAGCTGAAAGTGTTCAATATCGCTACCGAATATATCAATGCAAGGTCCATCAGACGAGGCAGAGTGATCATAGTAGTACTGTGTAACGGAAGACTCGATTGTGTCGAACTCTGGTGAGTCATGTCCTCCTTGAACTTGCAGAACCATGCCTACTTCGAAGACTGAGTACTCCGTAGATAAGCCGCAACGCGACCAGCTGACTTGTGCAACAAGGTCTAAGTACGGAGTAGTTCTCATTCACTAAGACTTCTTGGCCCTTACCTTACTGCTACTAGTGGAGTGTTACTACCTAGTAGAAAGAGGCTCTTTGAAAGTTATGCCTAAACTAACTGTGACATGATCTACTTTGCATAGGAGTATGCAGCTAGCCGTCTGGTATCCAATGAAACTTTATTATTTTGCACGGTTTTTCTTCTTCAAATTATGGTCATATGATGGTCAAAGTATGGCCATTCGAGCCCTCCGATGATCCTATAATGACAAATCGTCTATTAGATTGCTTGAGGACCAGTACCGCGTCATTCTCGGAGCCCTTCTCCAAGTAAGTAGTAAGTAAGAGAGCCATCAAAGTGTGCTTAGACTAAGCCTAACCGTAAGACTGCTTAGGGTGTGCAAGAATATGCAGCTGAGTCGTCCGTAAACCGAGGAAATCTTATTATCTACAACGTGTTTTGCTGAAGTATGGTCATTAGTCGAAATATGCTTCTCTTGTTGGATTTGCATGGTCGTCATTTGACAGAACAGCTGCGATTTCCACTGAGCACACTTAGCTCATAAAGTATCTTTAGCCACCTCTTCTCGTGGTAAGTACTAAACGTCAAGGCTCTACGTAGTACCGAATTTGTGGTTGACAGAACGCTTTGATTAATTCGCCGCATCCCCTTGCCACAAGCATCCACATCTTCAGGGCTTTTGGTGTGACTCCGTAGTGTGAAGAGGGAACAGCAGGTTGTCAGAGCATGCTCTTACTCACTCATTTGGCCTTCTCCACTGCGGGTTCTTAATTGATCATAGATGTGAAAGAATCAGTACACCACAACGCGAATTTCTGTGAGCATCCTCAAAGCATTACTCGGGTCAATACGCCTTAGATTGACCACTTTTGCATGAATATACCTTCAGCTCCATCTCTTGAATTTGCTCACACGTGAGACGCCTTTTAGGGATCCAGGAAGACACTGTGGGCGCTTCATGAGTGTGAGGCATTCCCCCCGACCTTTGTATTTCTAACGTTTTGCAAATCGTTCCAGAAGCCCAAAACACGACCCTAGAGCAGGATCAACGCTATCGCCAGGCTTTTTTCTCAGAGCTCGTCCTAGCAGCCTTATGCCACTCCGTTGTCGCCGTCACCCTTGGAACAACAAGGCTAATTCGCGACAAGCCGATTGGAATGCCAGGTTTGAGTGGCCCGTGAACATAGTATAGTAACGTTGGGGAGGAAATGGGTTTCAGAAATGAACATTGAAACGTAAGAACTCGAGCAGACCTTCAAGACTTTTCTACTCGCTTTGCATTTCTTATCCGGGTTGATAATCAGTCTCCGCTACATGAAAACTGCGGGGTCGCGGCTCAAACCGCCGTGCGGAGGTAATGAGTAACTATTAAGTTGGTGAGTTCTTCTCAGCTCGCACTTAGCGACAACTGGCTGCAGGTTGGCAAGCTTAGCATCGCGGAGGGGATTGGTGGCTTGCCGAGGCCGGATGTTGTCAAAAGTCGTAAGGTTCTGTCATACTGTCAGCTTATGCTCTGTCCCCCAGCATGAAGCCTCATAGCTGGTAACAGTGCCACCACGCGGATCCGGGGTGCATAATGGAAACCCGGGCGTGACAGCCGACGTTGGTCGTGGTTGAAGCCTCTTCTCTTTGCAAACGCCTTTGGAGCACCAACCACTTGGACCGAAAATCGATGATTCCGACTTCCCTTCTCGTGCAGAGTGCGACATGCTTATCTATTGATACTTCAAGCCGTCAATCTTGCTTTTCATTTTCCATGTCAACTCTAGCATTCGGCCAATGGTATGCAACTTCAAGTTCCTGGGCCGGATAACCTCTCAATCACGTACATGGAGAATCTCCACTGGAGGAGGAGCGGCAAAGGCTACCAGGCCGTTGAGGAATCGGGCAGAAAGCAATGAAATATCCATCCCAATCTTGATGAAACCATGAGCAGGACGCGGGGATGCACACTGCGGCCTACAACAGGATTCGTGGGAAGCAACCCGAGATCACCACCCGGTCCAAATTATTATCTGCCGGCTTTGTATTGGCGATAGATCATTTGCTTGAATTCCAAGAGCAAAGCTACTACTGATGCCGCCGAAAAGTGCGTCCTAGCGCTAATTTGAAGCTGTATATCTTTCCTAATCGGGTATAGGATAGAGGGTCTAGAGTGGAGAGGGCAGGGATTCTGTTAGCCAATCAATTGCAGCTATCCTCTGAAGTTGTTATTGCCCTCGTGCCTCTGAACTTGGGCCAATTTGTCACGATAGCCCTCAATATGGTGTTTAGCACACCGTCGCATACCCTCAGAGTGCATTTCGTAACGAATTCTACCCTTGGCCAGCTCCTTAATGCTCTCAGAAGAGGAGGTTACTCTCATATCCCATAGTAAGTCCTTAAGATATCCCCAAATTAGCTTAATTTGATTTAAATCAGGAGAATTGCTTATCTAAGGAGCCTTTAACACACCTATATCTCTGAGAGAATCCTACGCCTTCTTATAAACATATATATATATATTATTCTATTTAACGTCCGTTCGGTCCCTATTTATAGGGCCATGCAGACGGCTACCTAGCAAGGGAAAAGCCTAATAAGGAAAACCCTAGACTTACCAGACTAGGTAAGCACGGCTATCGCAGGGGGGTCAGAGATTACCCCGTGAGGCGCCTTCGCCCCACATGCGTTTCGCCTGCGTACCTGTTGCCCCCTCCTGTGTAGTCATCCTTTCAACCATACACCGAATATCTTAGAGGGTCTCAACCTCTGTCGTTACCACTCCTCTGCTGCATCAAACACTCTGTACCCTCCTAGCTCCTCCTCTGCTATCTCTTTTGCGGTGCGAAATTGCTCTAGGATCCCTGTGCGGATAAACCAGCGAGCCGCCTGCTTTG